TTTATACCATTTCTCAACACGCATGTAGTACGCAACTAACACGCAACTCACACGCAACTAACAGGTTGGGGATACCGCTGGAATACGCACAATAGGTGGGGGTACGCTACACACGCAACATGATCGCAACAGGCACGCAACACCTAATGTATCAACAAATCTAGGGATCAATTGTAGGCACTTGTTTCAGATTTCACGGGGTCCGAATAGCGATGAACATATCTATACCAAACGAACCGATTTTGCACTATTTTCCGTTAATATGACAGAGAAACATGGTACGACTATGTGTCGTACCACTATATTTATGTTTGTGTGTGTGCCGGAGCACCAGATCACATTTACAGGACGCGCATTACTGTAATGTGTGTGCGTGCGTGCGTGCGTGCGTGCGTGCGTGCGTGCGTGCGTGCGTGCGTGCGTGCGTGTGTGGTATCTGTCTGTGTCTGTACGTCTGTGTGCGCGTGTGTGCGTGTGTGCGGGTCTGTAATCATTTATTTATTTAGTTAATTAGTTAGTTGGTCGGTCGGTCGGTCGGTCAGTCGGTCAATCGGTCGGTCGGTCCAGTTACTTAGCTAGTTAGTTAGTTAGTTAGTTTGTTAGTTAATTATTTGTCCCCTAGTTTATATTTATCGTTACAATTAACATTTACATTTTCAATGATCTTCACTGTATGTGATATCAGGGGATTATTCAGGCTACTGGCCACCTGTTATTGGGCCGACAATGTATATAGTGAGTCTACCTTCCATTTCCAGTCGGTACAGCATGGAACAGGCGTCGACGATATCCAGCATGGCCCCACTAGTTCTTACCCGCGACGCAATCTATAAAAAACAAAATCGTAATAACATATACGTGACGTTTCAGGATCTCAATTGAACGCGTGACGATATAACTTCGGATACTTACGGTAATTAACGATGTAATGAGATTGGTGCACTATTAGTATTTATTGTTAGTATCAGTATGCTGGGAAATTTCTAAACAATCGCTCAACAAAATGGCTACCATGTGAAACTCGCTCGATGACGAACCATTTCACGCATCGCGTACTTATATCTATGCATAATTCCATCGTGTACCTGAGAGTCAAACACGTCTAGCGCTGCCGTGTGTTCGCCCTGAAAAAAAAACAACTACGTACCTGATTTATCTGATCACCGACATGTGATAATGATAATGGTGAATTGTACCCCGTAACCCATCATAATTCAGTGGTTCTTATCCTTCCGGTTGGACCAAAATATTGCCGCCATCATATCGCCACCATGCCATCACGCTGTCACCATGTATCGCCGCATGGGCGTTACGTGCGCCTATTCGCATTTTTACTACACATCAAATATCACCGCGAACAATATATATGTTACTTACGGAAGTCTAATATCACGAGTGTACAGTATAGAGAGTTATCATAATCTCTATGTTATACACTCCTGATAATATTATATGCAACATATTAAACTAAATTGTTAGTGTTAATCTAACCGGTTCTCTACATCAAATGGCATTGTCTACTAGCTAGCCTAGTGAACCTAGAAATATCGACTACTATAAGGTTTTATGTTGGAAATGCAATATACAGGTCATAAGGACTCAGAAACTGCCGGATGCTAATTTGCACATGTGTAGCATTTTGCATAATCGGCCTAATTAGCATATTAATTAGGTCAAATCACTAAATCAAGAATATCTTCTTTAGTAATGCACATAGAGACTTCATTCGTGTGTCTAGACCCATGTTTTCGACACTAAGCAATTGATCTAACATGGATTCAAACCCCTATCATCTTTCCGACTGTCAGGACTCCAATATGGCTGGCATGCATAATGAGGTAAACCGTAACATCACCATAACTCAGCAACTGTTGGAAGATATAGAGACTTTGTTTTGATGTTTAGACCCATGTTCTTAACACCAAGGATTCCATCGTCTATAGGACTTATATATTTAACAGTAAGTTATTATTATACATGAAAATGTTAAATATTATGATGCAGCTAGATCATGGAATACATAGATGAACACCCAACACCATCAAACTACATACTATTCGCCTTCGTCTTCATGGTTGTGATCATTCTCTCCAGTCTCCAGATCTTCTTCTCCTTCCTTCTGCTCTTCATATCCTTCTTCAGCATCATCTCGTTGTGTCAGTGAGTTACAACACTCATTTCCTCCTTCACACACACAGTAGCAGGTAACTGACAATCCATTTGCTGCACAACCACACTTCCTGCTGCAGGCATTCCCCTCTGCTCTCCAGCTGCAGCTAATGACGTCCATGAGGTTTTTTGGTGCGGTAGGTTCTTTGACAGCACTGGTACCACTTCATCATTTACAGTAACTTCCATCCATAGTTAGTGATTTGGACAGCAGGGAGGTCAGCCTTGTCTTATCATTTGGAGATGTGCTCTCCGGATATGGAATCCCAGGTTGATGTCTGTTGGTGGACCGTGGAAGGGACTTCACGGATGGAGGATTCTTTCGCTTGCGATAAATCTCGTACCTGGAAGCATTCATTGACGTGCTTTTCTTCTGGCCATATAAATGTAGGAAGAAGGCTTTGCCAGTTGCCATCAGGTCACTGTCAGTGACATCGTCCTCTCCAAGAACTGAGTCTAGTCCAGCAATATCAGTCTGGTTGAGCACTTTCAGGGCGGACACTTTTCCTTTCCCATTAGGATAGGACACAGTGTCACAGCCTGAGAGTGCGTGCATTCCCAATATTCCCTTGCATTTCTCCCCGAGCTTGGTGACAGTGACACTGATGTCAAGCACGGATCCATCCCACTTCTCCATCTGAACATGGCATGATACGCCATCCTTCCAGCACCAGTACACGAGCAGCACGAATACATCTGTGTCATCACTAAGGATGCGCACAGTCCGAGCTCCGGCCGATGCAGCACGAAGCATGTAGCTGATGAGAGATATGTCTGCTTTATCATGATGCACAATACTGTTGGCTTGGCTCACAAGTTCAATGGTGCTACCAATATCATGTGTGCAGAGTAGTTGTGAGAGCTGCCTGTTGTTGTTCTTGTTTTTCATGATGGCATCACGACCAGCTAGTGGTGAGTCAGTTGATATGCAGTGGATCCTTCCCCGGCTCTCCTCTGCCTCTCGTGATCCTTTGCACTGATACCTTCATGCCGATCGAAGATGACATAAGTGTCTGCCCCTCTGTAGTTGATGAGGCGTGATTTCATTCCTTCAGCAAGATCACCCACTGTACCCGAGGATGGCCAGACAATGTGGTACAGTAGCTGAGAGGCGTCCACCAGCAGAGTGTCAGGGGGAGGAGGGTTCCTTATGATGACGCCGAGATGTTTAACTAGTACTGACTTGTTTCCCTTTCGGAGGAATCCATACTCGTCGATGAGTGATGGAGGAACAGGGCACAGCTCATGATGGAAGACAGCAGACAACTCAAGGTTCCTCTTCTGTCCAACGATCAGGAGACGGGCGAATACCGTTTCCAGGTCATAGACAATTTTGTTTTTCACCTTCACACCACGCTTCAGTACCTGCATTGTCTTCACCTTCTTCTTGATCGGGTTGTAAAAGCCAGCAGGGAGGGATGTAATAAAAGTTTTTTTCATTTCCTGTCCGATCTTGACTGCATCATGTACATTGACGTCGTTTGCAGATGCCACTTGTCCATTGACGATGTTGTACAGGGATGCCGATTGATCAGTGAGTGGATGAGAATACTTGCGGAGTTCATCCAGGATCCTCTGCCGGTCCTGTTTGTCCAACTCCCGTCTCTGTTCCCCTTCTTCTTTGTGTTTGGCAGGTGAAGAGACAGTTTCTTCATCAGGGCTGTACATGCTATCCATGGCCATGGAAAGGTGAGAGCAGACACCAAGTGACTCAATCCAGACATCGACTTGATCAGGGTTGGTAGAGATACCTTTCATTCCCCCAGCTTGTTTGCCTTGCTTGATGTACGTTTGCTCCCCGAACTGGTCACCAGACACAGCAGCGGCTCCTTCAGAGTGACGACAAACATGTGCTCCATCGAGGAGATCCTTCTTGGCATCATGTAATTGATGTTGCATGTCCTGCAGGTGCCAGCTGATGTACCGTGCATAATTATGATGCCCAGCCTCAAAGAAATACGGTAGCATCATCTCCAGGCAGTGCTGCTGGAGTAGCCAGTCACCCTCACGCTCGGCCCTCTGGAATTGGTGTGCAAGCATGGTCGGTGTGATGAAGCAGTCGACCCATAGTTTGCCTGTGAGATGCTCACTTGCCTTCTCAAGGTATGCAACAATATCGTCATGACTTTTTTCTCCTCCCTGCAAAAAATCATGAAGAAGTGCAGCGACGACCATACGAAAAGCACGCATTGCCTTCGGCCATGCCTTTCCATTGAAGATGTTTGCCATGCCACTATACGCAGCACTGACGAGCTCCTCAACACCGGTACCTTTCATGTTGTATCCAATGGTACCAATGAAAGACATCAAGGTGTGCATCATTCCTGGTCTCAAAACCACATTGTTCCAGCGTACAGGATCACTCCACTTGATGAGACATGCGATGATGTACAACTGCATATCCAACGTTAGGTGAACATGGAGCATGCCAAGGCTCTTAAGCGAAAGATCAAGGTAGGCCATAGTAGTCAGGACAGTGTCAGGATGAGATGGTGGGGAGTCAATAAGTGGACCGAATATGCAAAGTGTCTTGGGCTTGTGCATGTCAACGTGAGCACGATCATTGAGAGCATTCAATCCAGACCATTCGACTGGTTTGTCAGAGTGAAGCTGGGAGAAATATGCTGCATCCTTGCTCTGGGCCTTGGCCAAGCTGACAGAGAGTAGTTGGTTGTCAGTCTGAGATGGAAGAGCCTCTCGTAGAGCTGGTGGATTCATCTTCTTTGGTCCGGTGTAATGCTCGATCTGGAGTGATCTATCAGTGAGGCGGAGTTTGGCTGCTTCCGCCTTTTTTAGACGAGGAATCTTCAGCGACATCACACCAGGAGTAGCACTTCCAGGGTTTATGATGCCAGCCGGATGCTGCGTGAACTCTATTGCCATAGCATGAGTGGCTCGACGTCCATTCGGAGTAAAGACTACTAAGTCATAGTTGTCACACCAGCTGAATATCGGACCAATTCGGCGTTCAAGACCTAGTACTCTGTGGTACACTTCACTGTTTTCGCATACATACTTGGCAGCTGACTTCCGGAAGCGCAACACCTCATCATATGATGAAACGATACCATGCTCATTCAAGGTATTGACAAGATCTGAGCTTCCGAACTTATGGTGCAGTTTCACTGCAAGTCCCAAACTGGTTTGATTGGTACTTTTACTGACATGCTGCTGCATACACTGAGATAGAGTGAGTGACGCTTTGGAAGACTCGCCATTAGACACGAGACTAGAGATAAATGTTAGGAGAGTTGCACTTGTGTTTTGAACCATTTTTTCATACCGAAACGCATTCAAATCGTAATCCCGCGGCAAAGGAATGGTTCTGACTTCAGCCTTGACCCTTCTGACCAAGCGGTCAACATCATCATCAACATCAGAAACAAGGGACTGTTTGACTAGTTTCAGAGACTTGCTGACAAAGTTTCGAAAGCCAACAATGGAAGAACAGCCTTCTAAATGCAACACGACAATCTCCTCACCAAAATACTCAGTCAAGTTTACAAGCATCTGTTTTCTCGTTAGATTACCAGCATTCTGAGTGTAGATAACATGCAGTTCAGCTACTGTCCACGTAACACACATGTTAGATTTCATATGATCGATCACAGACTTCAATGATTCATCAACACAGGGTTTACAAGATTCAGAATTGGTCGAGTCAATGGGTATCTTTCTGAATTTATTATAACAATGCGTGTGGTACTGAGCATCTGCTGCAGGTAAATCGATTTGAGCTCCGTTGACTCTAACCTCGACCATTCTGGACCAATCATCTCGGCGTTCATCACAGATGTCAAGTATCACGTTCTTGAACGTAGGTTGACCAGGTCTTTTTTCGGTCTCACACTGATTTACAGGTACCCATTTTTGGGGATTTTTGGGATCTTTTGGCACACATATCTCACCACAAAACAAACAGTCTCTTTTGAATACACAACCAGACACTTGAGAA